CGTCAGGATTGAAAGGTATCTACATACAGGTTTCCCTTCCTTCAAGAGCAGAAACTTCAATTCTAGATCTGTCACCAAGATTAATCTACTTCATCTCCTGTTATTCACTCACTGTATGTCTGTTAAGGTGACAGGAAGGACCAGGTGTTCTCCAACGACCTGAAATACTGTATAATTCACTCAAAAGAATTACCCTAGCCAAGACTCTGCTTTATCCCCACAAGAAATGCACTGGATCGAATGTCAATCAGAAAACAAATACAAACCTCTTGCTTCCCATACCCTAAGTCCTGTAAAAATCTTTTTGTTTAATCAGTGTTACCTGCAACATGAGTGAAACTTGAACATTCTGCTAAGTGAAAGCTGGTCCCAAAAGACCAACTATAGCTTTATCCCATTTGTCTGAAATGTCAATAGTAGACAAACAGAGTAGCCTAGGGTGGTCTAGGGCAAAAGGGATGTGGAAGATGTGCTGGATGGTTAGGTGACATTTAAAGACACGAGGTTTCTTTAGGAGATAATTAAAATATTCTAAGATTAATAAGTAGTGGTAGTTACATGAGTCTGTGCGTATATTAAAAGCCACTACTTGTGTTACCTTTGAATTATATCATAGTAAAGTTGTTACCAAAAAAATACCTCCTTAAAAGTAGTATTTTACTATATTAACCCATTTTGATGTTCAAGACAATATTTAGCAATTAATATCAAAGGAGCCAAATAGTAACTAAAAACAAAATTCTCCAATCCCTTTTGAACAAACAAATGGAGCTTGCTTCCTTGAACATTGGCTTAAGGGGCTGAGGATACAGTTTGGTTGTAGCATGCCTGTTTTGCAGCCCCCAGTACCACAGACTCAAACAAAACTACAAATTAAAAACAAGAGCAAATATGCATGTATGCTTGATAACATGACAGCATAGTTTATCGTCTAAAGAGTAATTCATCCAAGCAAATGGGAGCTGGGAACTGCAGATCAACCTCGAACTCGACGGATTGCTGGGGACTGAAGTCAACTTCAAACGCTACGGATTGTGGTGGGCCTTAGTTGGTTATTCATAACCTCCAATAACCTTTCTGATGTTGACCTAGGACAATTGTACGCACAGTTCCTCTGGTGAACAATTCAGGACACATCTGAAGTCTGATCTAGACATCCAATCCCAGCATTATGTCACTTACTGGTGTCCATATTTGACAACAAAACTACTGTCTGTGCACTTTCCTTTTTTGGCCACATTGGCAGCACGTCACCCACTATGATAGGACGCCATCCCTGCAGGCATGTTCTGATGAACAATGGACTCTGGCAGAACAATTGGTACGCCATTACTGGTGCCTTAGATAAATAAGATTGTTCAGTTAATATTGCAGAGAAGAAGATGCTACTTGGGGTGCACTAGAAGGACCAAGTAAGCACCTGTCACCAATGCAAAGAGCTACTCTGCAGAAAAGTGAGGTGGCTGATTAATAAAGGGCACCGGATCAACCCCACCCACCAGGAAGATAATCTGAGGGAAGAGCAAAGCACTTCTCCCTGTGTCAGAATGTGAGAAGAGCCTGTCCTGCCCCTCACTCAGTTCGCATTGAATGAAAAGTGTTTCCCATAGGTTCATGTATCTAGCATTTAGTCCCAGTTGGTAACAATGTTTGGAAAGGCTATGAAAGCTTCAGGAGGTGGAAACTTGCAGAAGAAAGTATGCTACTGGGTGAGGGCTTTGGGTTTCATAGCCTCATCCAGCTTCCAGTTCTGCTTCTCGTGTACTTCCTGGATACAATGTAATCCACTGGCTTCCTGCTCCTACCGCCATGAGGTCCCTGTCATGATGGATTCTGTCTCTCTGGAACAGTAAACCAAAGTAAAACTTCTTTTCCCTATGCTGCTTCTTGTCAGGGTATTTTATCATAGCAACAGAAAAGAAACTAATATTCCAGATACTAGTTGGATTCCAGAATTCACAAGAACCCGCAAGGTCAAAGGACCACCTAAATAAATTTTTGCTTTACCAAGAGGACATCTTCAGTGTCCTTCTGCCTAAGCCAAAGACAATCCCAGAAGGTTTGGTGAGGCCACAGGAAGGATAAGTGGGAGAGATGAATTCCCTGCATTCTTCCACCTCTTGTTCATGTCTTCAGACACCATAGCCCTGCGTGGGCAGGCAGGGTTCACAAGCCATAGTCCACAGTTGGTTCCTGCATCTTCTCTCCCTGAAACCTGACACCTGCATCAGCACCAAGAACTCAAAAGCCTCTACTCTGCTGGTGTAACTATATAGAAGAGGCCACAACACAATTCTGACATCAATGACTTTTCGACCTACCTTTTCGTGGATGATGGTTGTGTTAATAATTTGGTTTATTTGTTGTTTAAAGGTTGCTCTGTGCTTTGTGGCTAGTTGTTTGCGTGCCAGGCATCTGCATGAGCACATCCCACTCTGCCACTTGCTTTGCGTCACTCCTATTCAAACAGTCTCTTATTAGTGACTTTTCTGTAGCTGTGACCAGGTATCTGATAAAAGCAACTTATAGGAGCAAAGGTTTCTTGGAGCTCACAGTTTAAGGATTCAGTCTATAGTGGTGAAGAAGGTATGTCTGCAGGAACATGAAATAGTCATTCTGCTTACCAGGAAGCTCAGGAAGGTGAAAGAGACTGAGTCCACACCTTCCTCACCCCCACTCCCACCCCCACCCCCACCCCCACCCCCACCCCCACCTCTACCCTCACCCTGCTTCATCTTATTTGACCCATGTTCAGTATAGCTCTTCCTGTCTCTGCAAAACTGTCATGAAACACCTTTATAGACATGTCCAGAGGTGTGGCTCCTATGTTGTTCTAAACCTAGTCAAGTTGACCATGAAGGTTAACCATTACATCTTCCAACTAAGTATGGCTGGTATCTCAGTGTGGCCTCCATGTACGGTTCTCAACAGTGATGTAGAGAATCTTTCTATGGTCTTTCCCTCACCTTTCCTTCCCTCTCGGAGCTAGAGATGCAGAACTAGTTGCTTACAGGATTCCCACAGCAAGAAACTCTTGTTTTATTTGAGTCTATATTCTGTGTGCCTGCCATAGTGCTTAGCACTGTGTATACTAAATAAGTTCTGACTAGAGTCATCAATAAATGAACAACTGAAGACAAACCATTCCCTTCCTTTTGTCCCTGCTCCAGGTCTCTCCAAGAATTCTTTTTTTAAATGCCTGATGAGGAGAATTTCAAATACTTACCCTACAGCTGCAGAGATTCAACATCAACCAGAATTAAAGTACTATAATATTTTGACCCAAATTACAAGAAAGTCTTAACAAGTTTGAGTCCTATATAAGAATAGTATTCCTCTTTTCCTAATAATCAAAAACTTACATTTAGAAACATTGAAGTATTTGATACTCATGGCTGAAACTTTAGTCTCCAGGCAACCTCTGTAGCCCACAGACCTGATGGGTGTTACCACTAAATCACTCTCTTCTGAGAAAAAGACAGACAAAGAGCAAAATAGAAAAAGAATTTTCTCTTTTAAATAATGCCTGGAGAGATGGCTCAGCCATTAAGAACACCGAAGTTTGGTTCCCAGCACCCACTCTGGGCAGCATAATTGCTTGTAGCTCCAGTTCCAGGGGATCTAGTGCTCTCTTCTGGCCTTCATGGGCACCTACATACTACATGCTAACCCCACAGACACACACATAAAAAATTAATTTTTTTCTAATCTTTAAAAAAATGAAAACAAGCAAAACTAAATAATAAAATGCTTGATAAGACTTTTGGTAACTTTGAGTCCAACAGATGAACATCACTTGCTAGAGGCAGAGCAAGCTAAGAAAAGCTGTTGTCATCTAAATCCCAACCCTGCCTCAGCAGCTCATCCTACCCAAGCATCTGAAACACCCACGCTTTCTACTGTGGGAGTGAAGTCATGTCTAAGACCTAAAGGAAAGGACTCGTTTTCTTCTGTTTTCTTTGTGCCTTTTCTGAAAGAAAAAAAAAAAAGGCCAAAGGTGACCTATTGTCACAAAAGGTTGATGAAAATGCTATAGCAAAATATATAGTCGAGTCTTCTTAACCCCAGTGATCTTGGTTGAAACTCAGAAAAGTTCCCTGAACCCATGACACCTAAGCACCAAGACGAAGGGCAGGTTTCATTTCTGCTACCTGTCCACATTCGCATACCAACAAACCGTGCACTTCCTTTTCAGTGTTTTGAGCTTATCTAAGGGCTCATGTATCTTTGGTATGTGTGTGGGCATGTGGCCATGGGCTCCACATGAACAAGAAGAAACAGGCGCAGGCAGAAAGAAGGCTGCTTCTGATGTTATTTTTAACCTGAGCCTTCTGAGGGTGTTTGATCCACCAACACAGAACCAAAGGGAGTCACAGTGGTTAGGTTCTCTTTCCTCAGTTAACAGAACCTGTGTTCTTTCTTCCCACTCAGCTGTGTTAGCTGGGTGACCATTTGCCAGGCTGCTTCAGGTGCTCATCCCTCTCAGGCTCTCTGGTTTCTAGGGGAAAGCAGCACTACTCATCCCTGGCATTAGATGTTAGGAGAGGTGGATTGCAGTTTCTGTTTCCCCCGTGACCCTAAGGGAAGCTCAACTCCTTAGAGCCAATGTATTTGCATGGGAAGTACTTGACTATTGTAGCAAATTTGTTGCCTGGTGTCTTGAGAAAGGATGGAGTCTTAAGTGTAAATTCTGAAATAAGCTTTGTGAAGGAGAGCCTACTATCCAGAGCTCCCATACCTGTGCCTGCCTCAAATCTCTGCCTCTCCCTACAACTGATGGGCTCCCACACCCTGCTTAGATGATGCCCCTCCAGCAAGCAGGATCCCTGTGTTTAAAATAGGTTGTATTACTATGGGTGCTAGTTGGCTCCATTGAGTCTTTTCACAGTTATCACCTCTAAGCAAAGCAATCTCGTCTCTGGTTATACAGCCTTAGCTTTTGAGGTGTCTCTGATTTAACATGATACTGTTTCTTCACCTTCCTCTTTTGTCCTTTGCAGGGTATATCCCCAGCTATTTAGACAAGGATGAGCTCTGTGTAGTGTGTGGGGACAAAGCCACAGGGTACCACTATCGCTGCATCACCTGTGAAGGCTGCAAGGTAAGTGCCAGCATCCCAGCACAGACCTTGGCACAGCACCTGTCTTCTCTCAGACAACCACTGGGACTCAGGCTTACAAAAATAAATGTCAGCATTAATGGCCTCTGGTCATTCAGGGGCCCAGGTACCCTCTTTATTTCTCAAGATGTACTCAAGATCTGAATTTTTCTTTTTCCTAAATCATGAATAACTAAATGAACTTTTGCAGTAGTGTGGTGTTTTGTTCTTGTGTTTTTAAAACAGAAAGACAACTAACAAAAAGAAAATAAGTTAATAACATATTGAGCATTAGAGCATTTTTTTTAATATCTGATCAGGCTTCACTGTCTCTCCTCCCGTTTTATGTGCACTGTGTGAGGAGACGAGTCTGCTCCATGGCCTTTCTGCTGTGACTCTGCACGTCTGTGCCTACTTCCAAGGGTTCCATTAGGCAGAATCTTTGAAGCCACTTAAACTCAATTATGTTCCGGAATTTATTCAAAGTGACTTTCAGCAGAGCCTGTAATAAACGGAGCCAGTTTGCCATCAGGTAATTTTGTGCTCTGCAAACTTTTCTTTCAGAGATTCTTGACAAAAACATACTGGTCTATTCACGTCTCCAAAGGGAGCCTACATCTGCCTGCTTACAATCTTAATCAGCAAAATGAAGATAAGCATTATGAAAAAGATGTTTTGATCCATCAACCTAGATTAAAAAATAAAGACAAGGATCTCAACCCAGAGCAGTGCCTGAACAGCCGACACTGTCTGGGTAAATGCGGATGTGTTCTAGACCAGGGACAGACTTCCATTTCCTGTAGACTTTACAATAAAACCTGTAATGAAGTTAAAAAAAAAACCCTTTCCCTCCCTTTCCTCCTCATTCTCCTTCCCTTCCCTTCTTCCACCTTCCCCCTCCTCCCTTCCTTTTCTTCCCTCTTCCACCTTTCCTCCCGACCCTCCCTACTCTCTTCCTGCCTTTGCCTTTAAGCTTCCACAATTCACAGGCTGGCTGCATCCGCATTAAGGTGGGCTCCACTTCCCTAGTGGGAGATTTTCCACGCAGATCCCTACTTCTTGCACACTCTGTGACACTGCTGCATCTACAGAGACATCCAGGAAGGTTCCCATTCTGAGGGTCCTGGGGCCTCGTCAGCCTCTCACCATCAGTTGGAATGCGTGCGAAGCAAGGGGTTCCCCTTCTCTAAGATCCTTTTGATATAGAATTTGCAGAGGACAAGATTGGACTAAAAGTTGTGTTGCTACTCTGAAAACAAGACTCGTAGAGGTTAAAAAGCTAATCACATCTCCTGGCTAGCTGTTAATTACATTTGCAGACCTGCTCTTGAAAGCGATGTTTCATTGCTTCATTTGAAAGGAATAGGCTAGCTAGGCCTGGTGCCTCAATCCTGTAATTCCAGCTAATTTAGAGACTGTCAGAGGAATATACCAAGTTGCTGCTTGCTTTATTTATTTAGTTAGCTGTTTGTTTGTTTATTCTGGGCTATTGAGTGTGTTGGAGGCCAGGTGGGCAACTTAGTGAGACCCTGTCACAAAATAAAAAGTCAAAAGTCCTGGGATCATGTACAGTAGCAGAGTAGTATCATGTCTGACCAATCCCTGGTGCTGGACAAAATGGAAGTAATAAAATTATGATACATTAGGTTCATTCTCTCATTTCCAAAGATCAGTCATTGAAGCAAGTAATTGAAACTAGCCTTTGGGGGTCTTGTTTGTTTGTTTTCTAAATTGGTGCCAGTGAATAAAGCTTCACCTGCCTGGTTACACAGCATTACAATGTTTCTACATCACCATAAGATAAAATCTGAATTGAGAGAAACGTAATGAAAATTCAATGTAACTCTTAAATACCCAAGCAATCCTAAAGTTTAGCTGTGCCTATAACAGAATACATTTCCAGCAACATGCTTAACGAAAGGAGGCTTTCCATCCCTGACCCTACCTCACTGAAGTTATCCAGCCTCTCCCAAGATTACTGGGTGTTTAGAGACCTGATTCGGCTGTACATGTACAGTATAGTGCTTGAATCATGGAGAGATGGCTGGGCGAATAAGAGCAATTTCTGCTTTACCAGCGGGTCTGAGTTCCCAGGATCCATGTCAGACAGCTCAGAACTTCCTAGAACTCCAGCTCCAGGGGATCTAAAGTCTTCTCCTGGCCTTTGAAGGTACCTGCCCATGTGGGTCAGACATACACAAACACGTGTGCACACACACACATACACACACACACACACTTGCACACAATTTAAAGTAACTCTTAAAAAAATAAAATAACCAGGAGCTTCACGTAGCAGCACCTGAATGCCTCTGTGCCTAAGCATGAAATCAGATCCTATTTGTAGGTTGCCTCCATCACAAAATCAAAAAGGAACCTAGGAGTTAGAAGGCTTTCTTGATACAGAAGCAACTTGGGAAAAGAGAAAAAGTTTTCAAATATAACATCATCTTCAAGAGTGTCCAGAGATTTAAAAAAAAAAAAACTACCCCTCACGGTTTATTTAAACCTACAGTGTATATGGCCAGAAACTGAATTGCCTTGGCAATAGAAAGATTTGGGAGTTTTTAACTCTGCTGTGGTGTGTAACTTGCTGCACACTTTGGAGAAAGAAGGCTGATGTTGCCATATAACAAACTGTTTTCAAAGAAAATGTATCAATGTTACAGTGCTTTTACAACAATGTCATAAGATAAAATTTGAATTGAAAGAAAGCATAATGAAATGTCAACGTGACTCTTAAATCCCGAAGGAGATTCTAAGGTTTAAAATTCTAAACTTTCTAAATCGCATGTACATAAACAATGTCTAAACTGTTACATCCTAAGGTAACAGTTCCCCTTCAAGTTTGAACTTAAAAGGCGCTCTCAACTCCTGCTGCTGCCGTGATAAAACTAAACAAAGCAAGGATGAGAGGGAGGATCTAGGTGGTTTAACTTGCAGGCCACAGACCACTCAAGGGCCATTCAAGGAGTCAGGCAGGAACGTGAAGCAGAAACATGGAGGGAGGCTACTTGCTGGCTTGTCCATGCTTAGCTGTCTTATACAGCTCAGGACCACCTACCCAGAGAGCAATGCCACCCACAGTGAGCTAAACCTCCCTAAATCAATGAACAGCCAAGACAACCCCTCACAAACACTCACAGGGCAAAAGTATCTGGGCATTCCCACAATGGCAACTCCTTTAGTTGACTCTAAGTTGTGTCAGGATGGAAGTTACAGCTAAAAATGATGGATAGTAACAAAGCGGCCCTTTGTGTGTGGGGGGGGTAGTGTTTTGAGATAGAGTTTTTATGTGTAATCCTGGCTGCCCTGGGACTCACTCAGTAAACCAGGCTGGCCTCAGACTCAGAGATCTGCTCAGAGTGCTGGGACTGAAGACATGTGCCATCACACCTGGCCACATAGAGGCCCTTATGTCTGGTTAGTCCATCATCTGAGACCATTAAGAAATTAATCTGGGGCTGGTGAGATGGCTCAGTGGTTAAGAGCACTGACTGCTCTTCCAGAGGTCATGAGTTCAAATCCCAGCAACCACATGGTGGCTCACAACCATCTGCAATGAGATCTGATGCCCTCTTGTGGGGTGTCTGAAGACAGCTACAGTGTACTTATAATAAATAAATAAATAAAGTTTAAAAAAAAAAAAAAGAAATTAATCTGGCTCTTCTCTGAGTACAGAAACATTTCTGGTTTAGATTTTAAAGGCAAATTCTCCACTCATGTACAAGTCAATGAAACATGCCCTTATTTATTCCTTAAGAAGCCTCTTTTGTCAGCTCACAAGATCTGGTGGGTAGCTTGGTTTTGGTGCTGGGGAATTAACTCGGAGCTTCATGCATGTTCTACATGTACTATGCCACTGAGCTCTGCCCCTAACCCCTAAAATGATTTGCCACATAAGTGTCTTATGTTTAAGTTTATCTCCGGGAGTTAATTTTCATCGCTTTTTAAAATTAAAAGACCTATCATCCTTACATCTATCTAAAATAGAATTCCCTCATCCTGTAGCAAAACATGCTCTTCTACAGATTAGAATCATGCTTAAAAGGGACTTGGTCCATGAACATCATCAGAGGTAGCCTCAAAAAAGAAACAGCACAGCAAGCTGCTGTACTTCTATTTTCTACAAAAGCAAAGTACTCATTCCATTAAGGAGTTCACAGAATACCTTTGTTGAGATTCACGATCCTGTCCTCATTCTGTTACAGCCCTGCTCACCCTGGCCTCCTCGTGGTCTTCATAGGCAACCAGTGTAAGGGACAAAAGGGACTATCAGTGTTCCTCTTCTGCACCTGTCCATATCTTCCCTGGCTAGCTTCTAGGTAAACATGGCTTCCTCCCATATCGGGGGTTGTCCTGCCCCCTCTCAGTGTATACCATCCATCTTCCCAGAAATGACTGGGTATCTTTTGTCCCCTATGCCTCCTGGGACAGAGAGTCACAGTTAGGAGAGGGAAAGCCACATGAAAACCAAGGGATAAGCCAGTATATCCACATCATTCAGAGGCATGCACACATGTTAAGAACACAAATCCCCAATTCATAGTTTTCCTGTTAGAATGTGATTTTGAAATAAAAAATCATATTCCTTTAAAAGAATCACAGATATGAGTCTTGGCTATTCCTGCTTTGCTCAATATAAGGTCCTACTCTGGACCCTCTCATTGCAAGGAAGAGGTTTGTCTGAGTGGGGGCTACGCAAGCAGGCTCACAACAAAAGCCAAAAAATTAAAGAATAAGAATGGGCAAAAATCTGAGGCAACTGGTGTTTATCCTAAAAAGTGAGAGATGAGGCCCCCTTTGAGTAAAGAACTCTTTTTAAATGTGTTTGTTAGAGTCAATGAAAGTTTGGGGGATGATGAAGAAGAAATTTTTTATAATATCTGCTCATGTAAATAATATAGCAAAACCATTTCATGTCAGATGAGCAGTTAAGGAAATAAGATCCAGAGTGCATTTGTGTATTGTGCACACATTTGTGTATTGTGCACACATTTGTATATTGTGGCACACATTTGTGTATTGTGGCACACATTTGTGTATTGTGGCACACATTTGTGTATTGTGGCACACATTTGTGTATTGTGGCACACATTTCGAGTCTGGAATCACTGCATTTGGGGAACTAAACCAGAAGGGTTGCAAGTTCAAGGGCATCCAGGGCTGTATAGAAAGTTCCAAGCAAGCCCTGATCATATAGCAATACCCTGTTTCAGGAGAAAACAGCATGGAGTACCGCTCTTGAGTGGTAAACCACATGATCTGGGGCAACTGACTGGACCTATCTGAGGCCCAGCTTTATCATCCCTGTGTAGGGATTGATAGCACCTTCCTAGTAAGGTTGTGGGGCAATGGGATGCAGCGTACATCTGCTGGGCTGTCTGGGCCCATCACAGTGAGAGCTCACTGCCAGCATGTATTCCTGCCATTCAGCGTACAGTGGCCAGGACTTAGGAACCACGTTCAGAAAGGTTCTAGTCTAATACCCTTAAGGCCCAGTAAATTCCTAAATCGTAGCACCTGAAAGGCTGAGACAAGAAAGTAATGAGATGGAACCTAACCTAGAAAATATATAAACTTCTATTACAGGCCAGCCTTAGTTATATAGCAAGACTCTGTATCTAAATAAATGAATAAGTCTTGAGAAAGTTGTAAAAAATTAGCCAAATCTAGAATCAAATAGTGTTCTTCTGAGAAGAGAAAGCCTACAGATACAGAAGGAAAAGAAAGTTTTAGAAATAAAAGCCTCAGGGTCAAGTTTTCTGTTCTTCAAGTCCTGTTGTTTAAAAGGTTAGAAAGTTGACCACAGCCATCTTTTTCCTCTCTTTTCTCTTCTTTTCTTCTTCCTCCTCCTCATCCTCTTCATTGATTTCTTTTTGAAAATAGATTCTTCTTTAATACAATACATCCCAACCACAGTTTCCCCTCCATCCTCACCCCTCAGCTCCCCAATAGCTTCTTCCTCTTAAGAAAAGCAGGCCTCTAAAAGAAGACAGCTAAACAGGACAAAACAAGATACAGTAAGACAAAACAAAAGCACTCACAGCGAGGCTGGACAAGACAAACCAATTTGGAGAAAAGAAAAGTCCCGAGAACAAGTGAAAGAATCATAAATACTCCCACCCCCACAGCCAGCAGTACCACAAAACCACCAAGCTAACGGCCACAACATAGACAAAGAAGACCTGGTGCAGACCCAGGCAGGGGCCCATACTTGCTGCTTCAGTCTCTGTAAGCCCATGTGAGCCCTACTTAGTTGATTCAGTGAGCCATGTTCTCCTGGTGTCCTCCATCTCCTCTGACTCCTACAATATTTTCTCTCCCTCTTCCAGGGGCTTCCCTGATTTCCTACGGGAGGGACCTGACGGAGACCTCCAATTTAGATTCTCTATCTGCATAATGTCTGGCTGTGGGTCTCTGATTCCGTTCCCATCTGGCCAGAGGAAGCCTCTCTCTGTTGATGACTAGATATGGCACTGATCTATAAGTATAGCAGAATGTCATAAAAATCATTTCATTTCATTGTTTTGTTTTGTTTTTCCAGTCATGTTTAGTTCTACCTAGGCCTCTGTGCTATCCATTCTCTGGTTCCTGACCATCCTGGCTCCCTCTCATGGAGTGGGCCTCAAGTTAAACCAAACATTGGTTGGCCACTCCCACAAGTTTTATGTCACCCAGTCCATCTTTCAGGTGGGACAGATTTTAGGCCAATGGTTGGAATCTAGGTTCCTCTTTCTGTAGACTAGAGGGGAGGGCTATAGATTCCATACAGACACCAGTTCCACTTCTCTTCATGCAATGCAGCTGGATGTTGTCCTCAGCAATCGGGCCCTGCTGTCAGCTTTCAGAGAATGACCCTCTGTCCCAGTATCAGCCTGGGTTGTTCAGGGACCTCCACAGGATACCCTCATTCAACAGTTCAACCAAACACAACCCAGTCTTGCCACTGGAAGTTTTGTCTGACTACAAAAGATGGCCAGTTAGATTGTATCCTCCACTACTAGGAGTGCTCACTAGGGTCATCCTCATAGATTCCAGGATGTTTCCACAGCACTAGATTTTCATATCTCTCTCCAGACACTTGCTAACTCCATCTGTCTCTCCCTGCATTCTTTCCCTCCATCCCCCAACCCACCCAAACCCTCCCTCTCCTATCCCTATCCACTTACAGTCCACTAGCAAAATCTATTCTATTTCCCTCTTCCCAGGGAGATCCATGCATTTCCCCCAGAGCTGTTTTACCCAACATCTCTGGGTCTGTCAATTATAACACTATGTAACTTTATGTAACAGCTAATATTCACTTATAAGTGAAAATATACTATATGTTTTTCTAGGTCAGTGTTATCTCACTCAGGATGATTTTTTTTCCTAGTTCCTTCCATTTGCCTACAAATTTCATGATGTCATATTTTTTTACCTACTGAGTAATAATCCATTGTGCAAATGTACCACCTTTTCTTTATCCATTCTAGGCTTGAGGAATATCTGGGTTGTTTCCAGTTTCTGGCTATTGTGAATAAAGCTGTAATGAACATAATTGAGCATCCTATGAGTGTAGCATCCTTTGGGTATAGGTCATGGCCATCTTAAGAGTCAAACACAAACTAAATGTAATCTCTAAATGAAATAAAGACATATATTTAGTCACCAAATGATTTTAAATGTTCTTGATATGTGTATATTCATTGTACATAGTAATAGGTTTCTTTAAGAAATATTCTTATAAGTGTATCTTATCCTTTAAATAAACTGTCAATCAAAGTATCCTGATCTTTTAATTCAGGATAAAGTAATAAAGCTCTTAATTCACTTAGCAACAAAATTATGATACCATATGAATAAAGGTTATACTATTTAATGTATAGAAAAATAAGAACAAACACCAGGTTGCCCATTGGCTTTATTTCTTTGAGTAAAATACACAATAGTGAAGACACTACAGCCCTGTGAAACCTCTCTCAGCTCCTTAGATTCACTTACCTCCAACATCCTCCATTTGAGGGTATAAAGTAGGAGGCCCCAGCCCAGGCTAAGACCAGAGCAATGGCTCTTATTCTTAGATAGACACAAAACTTTGGAGTCGTTTACCTTCAGAAAGTATGAACCTGTTATCTTGGGTCTTTCTCATTTAGGGCTTCTTTAGAAGAACCATTCAGAAAAGTCTCCATCCGTCTTACTCCTGTAAATATGAAGGAAAGTGCATCATAGACAAAGTCACCCGCAACCAGTGCCAGGAATGCCGCTTTAAGAAATGCATCTATGTTGGCATGGCAACAGACTGTAAGTAGATGTTCTTCATTCGCTTGATATTGTGAAGTGTGGACTGGGGGAGGGTTTTGGTTCACGATGAACAAAGAAAACAGGAATGTTTGTGGATAGAGTCTGGCTGTCACACCCTCCCTCCCCACTTCCAGCCTTGCCAATGGAGAGGTGGAAATCATGGGCTCTCTTCCTCCTGACTTACCAATTCTCAGCCTCCAAAGCATCCAGATGATGTGAGAAGGCATAGTTAGATCATCCCTGTGTGGATTTGAAGCATGTAGCATGGTCACTTCTTACACATAGACTCCATATGCTGAGAGGCTTAGAGACAAGTCCTTGTGTTTTCAAAAGCAGAAATAAATTAACTTGGTAGACATTTTTGTAGATGGAGTACTAGCAGAAAATGTCATGTTGGAGAATGTTTGAAGAATGCAAGTTGAATGCCCCCACATGGGTCATCCCGCTGTTGATAGTTTGTTGTATTTTTAGCCAAAATAGATTTTTTAACTGAAACTATACTACCCAGTTTTCTAAGAACCGTAGCATATGGCAATGAGATTATCCCTGGGGTCTGTCCTCCCAATCCTGGTCCAGGGGTTTACACCAGTCACCTTAATTAGTCATAAAACAAAGAACCGCATCATTCTGCATATGCAGACTCCCCTCTGCCAGGAATCAGTAAGGGCCATTTCCACAGCCATCATGATTATACATCAGAGATTTCAATCATGAAATGAAAATGAGTTTAAAAGGAAAAAGAAAAACACAACAGAGAAAGAAAAGGTAATGAGAATGTTCCTGACATAGGAAGAAATAATCCTAGTTTGTATTGGTACCATAAATAGTGTTCTCCCTGAGAGAGAAAAGAAAATCTATGATCTCCTCATAGAAGAAAGTGCTGTGGAGACTCTTCTGAGCTCTGTTAGGGTGTCATGCTGGAAGTATTGTCCATCCACGCCTCAGGCAGGGTGCCTCTACAGCTAAAGGCTTTGGGTCCTTTCTGACCATGATGTGAATGTGAATGTGACTAGCTCAAAACCAAATACTTAGATGTCACTATTCAAGCCACGGCTGTTTAAACAGCCATTTCATTATTTCTTTAAGTTTAAGATGTGAGCAGTTATGGGGTTTAAGATGCTCCAAGTCCATCTAAACTGTGGATACAAATGTTGAGCTCTTTTATCTGCTGGTGAGGCATTTCAAAAGCTCCAGGTTCCTCAACAGAAAAACCTCTGCTCAGGGACAGCCAGGTCATGATCAGACAGCAGCCTCTGCCACCCAGCCCCAAGCCTGACAGCCTATAAACCCAGTCCCTGAGACTCACATGATGGGAGAAAAGAACTGACTCCCACAGGTGTCCTCTCACGGGGCTAAGTGTGTGCACGTGCCACACACACGCACACACACACACACACACACACAATTCAACAAATAAGTAAATAACAAGAAGGAAAAAAAGAAAGGCAAACCTCCATGCCAGTGCCAGCCCTACCACTGACTAGATATGTGACCCCCAGAGTTAATCTTCAGACTCCTGCCTGAGAAACCCCCACCAGCCTTATAGCACCAGGCCCAACATTCAGTCTATACAGCTGCAATAGTGTGGCATACTGGAAGCCTTGAGGCCATGGGGCTTCGGTTTTGTGAACCTTTAGGAGGTGAACCAAAGTTACCTCACAAGGCTCCTTCACGTTTCCCACATTGGAAGACACTCGTGACACTGGTGACTCATCCTGAGGAGACACTCTTGGAGGGCTTGTGAACTAACTGGGCACCTTGCTTCTCTTCTTGCAATGTCTGCCCTTTACATGGCACAAGAACAGAGAGTTGTAGGAATTGAAGGCAGGAGTCCTGGGTCTTCCCCTGTCTCAGCCATGAGCTCTATCTGACCTTAGGCAAGTCACAGTCACAGTCACTGATCCCTCTTCTGTGGCAAGAGGAGAATGGACTAGATCCTGTCTGCGGTCATCTGAAGCCTGAGCCATGCTCAGGGTAACAGTGCTTGCCATGAAAGCAAGGACGCCTGAGTCATACCCTCCAGCACACACATAAGAGCTGCCATGACCACATGCGCCTGGAACCTCAGTGTTGGGTTAGGGACCGGTATGTTCTGCGGACTCACTAGCCAGGAACTTAGCCTAAATCGCAAACTTCAGATTCAATGACAGACCCTGTCTCAAAAATGCGAGGATGGATTGAGGAAAACTCCTGGAATACTTCTCTGGCTTCCATGTGTGTACACAGAGGTTCACTAACCCCCCCAGACACACATACACACAGATGTACCCACAAGAAGGAAAGATGGCATGGCAGGTAAAGGGACTTACTACACAAACTTGCTGATGCTCAGAACCTACATGGTCAAAGGTAGTACGAACCTCACAGAATTAGCCTCTGACCTTCACAGGTGTACCATGGTATATGTGCACCTACACACACACACTAACAACAACAATAATAATAATAATTAATAATAATAATAGTAAAATAAAATAAAACCAGAGTCTTTCAATCTTACTACAAGTCTAGTAAAATATTCTCACTTGGGAACTAACCACAGAAAGATAGATTTCTTGTTCCTTTTTGCACAAATGGTAAATATGACTACATTTACTGAACACTTACCATATTCACATCGCGAAAGTGAATACCTTGTACATATGCATTACTGATCCCATCTCGGTAAAGGGAGACATGAAAGCTCAGAGAAACTAACAAACTTGCTTAGCAGTCTCACAGCTAGAAGGTGCTGGTGTCAGGACTCAAACCCAAGTCTTTCTAGTCCAAGGCTCTTTATCTACCAAGGAGGGTAGATGAGGTGCAAAGATTTGCAAAGATGTACCCGTGAGGCTCAAGCACGTCAAAGCCACATCACAGTCTGCCCTTAGGGAGCCTGGAAGAACTGTTTCCCCTCCTCACTACTCCAGAAGACTTCCTTAACAGGAAGCACAGGAAGCCTCAGGGTAAACGCAGATGACTGCCCAACTGATTTCCCAGCTAGTGTGGTTTTAAGTCTCTCTGCTTTAGTCTGATTTTAGCCTCTGCCTTCTGTAGAGCTGAGTTCCTGGTACCCATGTCCCTTCAAAGCTCAGTTTTGGAGACTTGGTCTGGACACTGGGCTCGTAGTGGGCTGTTTGCTATGAGAGGGAGAATGTGCCCTATGTGATCCAAGGCTCAGAACTTACAATCTGCCCAAGTTCTGGATTAGCCATGGGTCCCTCTCACCTTTCTACCTTACAGTGGTGCTGGACGACAGCAAGAGGCTAGCCAAGCGGAAGCTGATAGAGGAGAACCGTGAGAAGAGGCGGCGGGAAGAGCTACAGAAATCAATTGGACACAAGCCAGAGCCCACGGATGAGGAATGGGAGCTCATCAAGACAGTCACCGAGGCCCACGTGGCCACCAATGCCCAGGGCAGCCACTGGAAGCAGAAGCGGAAATTTCTGGTAAGGTTTCTGACCAAGCTCACTATCTATGTATCCTTCATTTTCGGCCAAAGTTTAGAGTCCTCTGGACCCTTCTGTCATGAGTGTCCCATTTTTGTGATGGGAAGCTGCAGCTCAGAGTGGCTGGAACTGCAGTCATGCCAGCAGGGTTACAGAGGCTACTGGAGCAGTGGTCATTCACTGGAACCCAGAGCAGCTTCCCAGGCCTCCAACCTCAGGGTAAGGCTGGGCTGGAGCCCCTCCTCAGGAATGTCTGCTACCTGCTGGCTTACCTTTCTCCCACCCCCACTTCTGCCTTCAGACTTCCAGTGTTCATACTTAGTCATCTGGGCTTGTCCACATGCCCCCTTCAGCAGGAGGAAGGGTCTCAGACCTCAGGTTTAAGTTTTTATCTGCCAAAGTCAAAACTTGTGTCTAGGAGTAAAAGCTTGAGTTTAGGAGCCAGAGAACAAGGGCATAGCGATGGGGAGAGCATAGAGACAAGGCCGACCTTTTTGGATCTGGGTGCACTTCCTGGATTTTAGAGGAAACCCCTTCCCATGCATTTCTCATCTAGACTTCCTGGTGCTCTCACGTTTCTGGAGTTGCCCAAGATGATATGGCAGTAAGTGACTAAGCCAGGCCCCAAAACCAACAGGTCCTCTGGTTCCAAGTCTCCCCACCCACCTCATTAGACAGACTTCCTGCTCCAGCCAGAGTCTAGTCACCTCAGAAACTGGGTTTGCCTTCCATGTGTGACACTGGGGCTTTTGTGAGCACTTTGCCGACCTGTGGATCTGTCTATATGTCACAGTTGCTTTCTCTAAACAAGGAGGTATGGTGGTGAAATTACCTGTGCACCACAACAGTGACATTATAATGCAGTAGTAGGCTTGCAATCATAGCTACTCAGAAACCCAAGGTAGGAAGGTTGCAAGTTCAAGGCCTGCTTGAGTTACCAGTCCAGCCTAGGACACTCAACAAGATCTTACCTCAAAAGTTAAACCACAGGAAGAGCTCAGTGGTAGAGCATTTTCCCAGCCTGCATGAGATTCTGGGACAGTACCAAGCACCATAAGTAATGATGGTAAAAGGAAACTTTGGAAAGAAAGGGCTATTGAGTAATCTGCCTGTCCTACACCAAATCCTCTCACTGTCACCAAAAACAAATACTGTCACATGCCACCTTTAGAAAAGTCACCAAACACTAAAATGCTTAGGATATGCCAAGTTGGAGTCTAAGTGCTTGGCTCCCTAATCTTCAGACCCTATACCACCCCTATAGGTAGAAACAAAGAATACCTCCATTTACAGGAGAGACAGATGTGGGAAACTTATGGGGCTCCCACAGCTAGACTTAAAACATGGAGGAGCAGGTATAGGCAGTGCCCAGTCTGCCCAGCTGCTTCTGTCCACCATCCATGTAGCCTCACTACCATCCAAACTAAGAAAGGCCTTGAGAGGGCGGCGTCCCACTGCTTCACCTTGGTGTGTCTGTCCGGAAATTAAATTGCACTAATTCTGAATCAATAGGCCAATCCCAACCCAATATATCTGTACCATATCAGTACAGAGTCCAGCATACACACAGGCCTAAGTCTACCTAAGTGTACCCTTTCCTCAGATGTGCAGGCCAAAGCCAGGCCTGGTGTTGAATTCTGACTTTAAATAGTCAACAGAAGTGGAAATCAAGCTGAATTCTGAGTTGGAGGAGTCAGGACCCATTCTGGACTTGCGGAGAATTGTGGGTTTTCTCCCTAGGAAAGGATGAATCTAAGCATCTAGAGTCACTAGAGTATGTTTTAGAGTATGTTTTAGGGGATATAAGGATTTAGTCTTTTAAGTTACGTATATGTGTATATGTCTGTGTGAGGATAAGTGTGTATGCTCATGTGTTGAAAGCCAGCTTGACATCCAGGATGCTCAACTGAGGTGTGGTTTCAGTGATTCAGTCATTGCTCAGAGGGGCCAATGTGGGGGCGGGGCTCTGTTGATAGCAGCAGGTGATTTTCAGGGTGATGGGAGCAAAACTTAATTATCTGGGGCCAGCACTCTCAGTAACTGGGCAAGAAAGTCTGAACTCTTTTAACTCTTAAGAGGCCTGTGAGAGGGTTGGGGATTTAACTTAGTGGTAGAGCACTTGCCTAGCAAGCACAAGGCCCTAGGTTTGGTCCTCAGTTCTGAAAAAAAAGAAAAGACAAAAAAGAAAAAAAAGAGGCCTGTGAGAAAGAAAAAGATAGAAAGTAATACACACACACACAAACACACACACGCTCGGCCAGGCTTGACCACCTGTTTCATCAATTTCACAAGTGCACATGCATACTTACATACATACATACATACATACATACATATATACCTACATATGTATATATGTGCATATACATACACAGTCAGACATATACACATATTGTACATTACATATACATATGTACATTGCATATGTATGTACATCTATATATTTGGTGGATAAAGCCCCAACAGCCACACTTTATTTTTTTCTCTCAGCTTTTTTTATACCCTCTTAGACAAAAGTTCTTTATAAAATTATCTCACAGATAAAAGGTTAACAGAAGGATGTTGATAGTTAAGGTCAAAGCAGAGTTTCATTCTATAAGCTCATTATAAGTTCAGAGCAACAGTTTCACGTGGCCTGCCTTATCATGGAGCACACCTGTCGACTCATTCTTGAATCTGACCTAGAATGAATGTTTTTCCTTGATCAGTAATCTGTCCCAAGCATATTTTTCTTTCTAGTGCAATTTATTTGCTTATAGTTCATGAAATCTCACTTCATTCCTTCTCATGAAGCCTTCACTTACTATTCTAAGAGAAGGGGCCACATTCTATTCTTGATTCTAACTTTATTACATCTTTCTGGTAAAACAACTAAAACATCTCCTTAAACATTTTATCAATTATTCTAACTTTCTAAAATTATATGAATCAAATCAGGAATTCTAAAAAGTCATTAATTCATATAAATAGCATTAATACATGAAAGTACATCGTCATATTGATCTTCAGGAAATTTGCCCAACAGAGTGGATTAAAACTCAGGAAACAGTAGGCTATGTCAGCTATAAGAGGGATACAGCAGTAGCAGGCTGATCAGCAGCAAGAAACAATCCTGGGAAGAAGTCTCTGGGGTCCATGCCTCTCCAGAGAATACCCATTGCAGCCATGCAAAATGATGGGGCATCTCTAGGAAACTCACTTGCTATAAGCTTTCCTGAATGACTCCTGCCATGCATGTATGTTAGTGTGTGGATAACTGTATATGTATAGATGTGGGAATATATTCATGTATGTGTGTGCATGTGTGTCTATGTGGAGATATGTGTATCCATGTGTGTTTGTTTAGTGGTGTGTGTGTGTGTGTGTGTGTGTGTGTGTGTGTCTGTATGGAGAGATGTTTATTTGTATGTGGGTACATGTGTGTCTGTATGAGATGTGTGTGCGTGTGAATGTATGTCTGTGTGGGGATATATTTATGCATTGTGTCTACGTGGGGATATGTGTAAGTGTGTATGTCTGTATAGGGATATGTGTGTGGGTGATTTCTGTGTGGGGATATGTATGTGTTTGTGTGCCTTTGTGAGGATATGTGTATATGTACGTATGTGTGTCCATATGAAGATATGTGTATGTATATGTATATGCATGTCTGTATGCGGATAAGTGTTTGTGAGCAGATGCCCCAGAGATCAGCGGACTCGGACTTTTTTAAGTGTATGTGTATTCATATGTCTCTGTATGGAGATGTATGGTGCATATGGGTCTGTGTGGGGATATGTGTATGTGAGTGCAGATGCCTCCAGAGACCAGAGGTTTCAGATCCTGCTGAAGCTGGAGTTACAGGTGGTTATGAGGCCCCTAGTATGCATGCTGGGAATTGAACTTGGGTCCTTTACAAGAACAGTATGCACTCTTAACCTAAGCAATCTCTCCAGCACAAGATCTATTTTTTTTTATCTGAGGAGAATCCATTGAAACTGTAGAAGTATGTAGCTCAGTCACTAAAATGCTTGCTGCATAGACATGAGGGCCAGACTTTAGTCCCCAGCACTCCTGTAAAAAATAAATAAATAAGCTAAAGCCAGGCATAGTGGCACATGCATATAATCCCAACACTGTAGAAATGCAAACAGAGCCCAGATGGTCAGCCACTCTAACATAACTGGTGAGCTCTAGGTCAGTGAGGGATCTGTCTTAAAAAATAATATGGACAACTAAGAAATAACACCACATTGGTCTCTGGGGTTCACCACTTACATATGCAAGTGTGTTCATGCATGCACACACACTACACATACACACACACACATACACACACACACACGCATGCACGAGGGGGGTTATTAATGATCAGATGCTATGGGAATCATAAACTAAGTCATATTCCTTATATAACAAGGGCAAACAGTAAGGGCTATCAGACATGGTCAGTGTGGTCAGTGCTGAATACAGGGAAGGTTGGGAACAGTATGAAAGGACAGTGTTTGTGAGTGGAAGCTGAGGAAAGACTTCATCCCTCTAACTAGGGTATTGAAAACAGAAAAGAGCAAAACATGAAGACATAAGAACCAGCCTCGAGGTCTCACCTTCAAGCCTCCTGATAGTCTTCATGAATTTGATCATCCAAAGCAGAAAGTTGTGGCAGAGTGGCCTGCTGTTGGACTCCGGTCAGAGCAGTGAGGTGATCTCTGCACTGGCTTTCTTCAGGAAGCTGATGAAAGCAGCTATTATACCCAGCTGTGCAGGACAACATGGCATGTGACATACACCTTTTATAGATCCCTGATCTGTTCAAGAAAGTGTCCCTCATGATCCAAATACAATTAATGGCTTCTCCATGCCAATTAGTCTAAGGTTTCTAGGTTGATCGGACCCCTTCTATATCCCATCTGACTCTCTCATACAGCCTTTGTGCCTGTATCGTCCCTATGCCATCACAGGGCTAGGGCAACCCAGGTCTACTAAGCACTAGCCCTCCAGTGAGTGCATGTGGGTGAAAC